CATTAGCATAAGGGGCGTGCCCCGCCGCGGCCCCGCCCGCGTGGCGGCGGCCTTGCCTCGGCCCGGTGGCGTTCGTGTCGTGTCCGTGTGTCCCGTGCCCTGTCCCGTCCCTGTGTCCTGTCCCCGTGTCGTGTCCCTGCAGTGCCGCCGGGGCCGTGTCCCCGTTACCTGGCCCCAGGACTTGGCTTCCGCCGTGTATCCCCCGTGTCCTTGTGCCGTGTTCCAGTGCCGCGCCCCCCATGATGCATCCCATTGCCATGTGCCCTGTTCCAAGTGCCGTATCTTGTGTCCCTTGTGCCATGACCCTGGTGCCTTGTTCTCCGCAGCACATCCCGTGTGCCATGTGCCACCGGCCCAGTGCCTTGCCTGCATGCTGTGCCCCCTTTCCTGTCAGGACCTGTCACCTGAGCTGTGCTGACCTGTTGTGAACTTCCCACAAGGCATCAGCTGTGCACATGGGTCTTGCTGGCTTGGGGTCCCCTCTACGGCCTTCCAGCCCCTGCACTCCACATCCACCGAGGGTCCAGTACCAGTGGCATCTGTTGGAGTTCTACTCCCATCCCACCCATTGATCCTGCTCCCTTGGATGTGACAAGCAGCCTCTGGCCCATCCTTTTCCCTGGGCTGGACGCCAGCGGGTGTGCTGGGTCTGAACTGCGGTATCATCCTTCCATAGGCTCTGCCACCTGCTCTTTTCTGCAGGCACTCCCCTGAGCCAACCCCATCCCAAAACATCCCAGGGGGATGCTTCTGCCATCCTCGAAGGGTAATTCATGCCATTCTGTTACCTAGGATTTCAGGGATCATTAACAGTTCCCGTTGCCACAAATCTGGCTGAGCTTTCTGTGTCCTAAAACTCCTTAATTACTTAAGGGCCACCTGCTTTTTTCCCCCATGTTGCCACTTTCCTGGCCACCTCAGCCTTGCTAGAACCCACAGGGAAGCAGAGGGCAGGATTTACTTTAGCAAATTCCTTGCTGCTGCTTGAGCACAAAGGAGGGCCCTGGCACTTCAGTGGGCAGAGGTGGCTGGCATGTGCTGGGGACTGGCAGCAGGGCACGCTGGTTCTGAGAGGGAGACTGTCTTGTGGCAGACTGTCACCAGGTCTTCATGGGGACATCCAGGACATGGCCCATGGCAGAGGTTGGCTGGAGGCACAGAGAGGAGCAGTGGGCTGGGGATCAGAGCCACAGGGGTGGACCCTGTCCTAAGCCCTGGCAGAGGTGGGTGCAGGGGCTGTGCGTCCCATGTGTGGAGCACACTGCCACTGTCACCACCACCACTGCCACCAGCACTGTCACTGACAGCACCACCACTGCCACCACTGCCACCAGCATCCCCACCGCCCCATCAAAACTGCCACTAGCACTGCAATCATCATCACTGCCACCAGCAGCGCCACTCCCTGCATTACTGCTTTTCCACCCTGGGACATGTTCTTTTTCAGTGTGGTCATCGTTGTCATCGCTCTGTGGTGGTGGCTATCACTCCTAGCAGTGTTTCCAGCAGGTCAAATTAACCTTTCACTATCACAGGACGATCCCTGCATCTATGGTCCAGAGCAATTGGTCACTGAGCAAATTTCTACCCCTCAGGCCACTGGCAGCATCAGCAGTTTGTTCACCAGATTTGGGCTGGTCAAGGGAGATGGTGTCTCATCCCACCCTGGTGCTCAGGTCTGTGCCCTCCTGGTGCTCACCTGGGCTGGGTCTGGCCATGCTGCCACCAGCACTCACCTGGAGTGGGCATCTCTCCCAACACTGTGCCCAGCCTGGATGCAGTGAGGGGACCTTGCAAGGTGTAGATCCCAGACAGAGAGTAACATGAGCATCCTGGCTGGCGGGGATGAGCCCAGATATTGCCCCATGGAATTTATCCGTGGGTGATGGGTGCTGTTTTGTTGTTGGGCAAGAGCTTCAAAGCCCCAAGGGCACCAACAGACCGGAGCAACACCAGCAACAATATTTGAAGCAGGGACTCAGGGCCCAGGGTGGATTTCAAAGGCCCCTAAAGGATGCTCTTCACCCTGTGTCTGCACCCGGTGCCTCCCTGTGCCTCTCCCGGGTCCCGAGGGGCAGCTCCGGCTGCCGGTGGAGCAGCTCCGTCGCTGCACACGCCGTGATGCTGCCGCCGTCTCGCAGCCGCAGCCCCGGCCCTGCTGCCCCTCCTGCCTGGCGGCTTCCCGCAGGTCATCCGGCCCCGTCCCGCTCGTCGGCCAGCTGCCACCGGCCGGCCCCGCCAACACGGAGCCGCCTTGCGAGCTCACGAGGTGCGGCGTGGTGAGGCTTTGGGGGTGCCGTGTCCCCGGAGAGGCTGAGCGGCGGGGCTCCGAGCTTCCCTCCCTCCACCTTTGGAGCTGCGGGGTGCTGCGAGTCTCCTTTCCCCTGCATCGTGGTCCAGCACCTTGAGCCAAGCCCTCTTATCCTTCCCTCTCCTCCTCCCATGCTCTTCATTCGGGACTCACTCAATGTCTCTGGGTCTCAGTTCTCCAGCACTAAAGGTCCAATAAATTGGGTTTCACCTGAAATTGCTGATTCACAGCAAGGATATTTTTTTAAGCTCTTGGCAACAAAATTTCTTTTCAAAACATTGCATTTTACATTTTCCCTGCGGCATGTATTTATTCAGCCTCCTCCTAGCCAGGTGCAGCTATGGAGGTCATGGTGGACTCAGTGTGGTTCCCCCTGCTCATCCTGATGCCAATACTCTTAAATGTTTGCACAGAGGGAAGGTCTGGGTGCTGGAAACGAGACCATCGACCTCCTTTCAGCCACCGGGACTGCCCAGCCCTCCTCACTCTCTCCAGACCCCTCTGGACTGACCAGGCCAATGGAGGGACCGTGTGCCAAACATCCTCCTGAGATGCCTATGAAGCCACTCTGGTGGCCCAGATGTGTCTGTGATCGGTGGAGTGAATGGACACAAGGCTGCACAAAGCCCACATGGGCCAGAGGAGGGGTAGGACTAATTGGATACTAGTGACAACAGCACATGTGACCTCGCCTGGCTCCCTGCCATGCCCGTATGTTGCAGCAGGTACCCAAGAGTAACTTAAGTGCTTCCCACAATAGTGCTGTTTGAAAGCACTGTGCATTCCCACCACCAGCAGCACTGCTGCTGCAGCTGTGCCAGCAGGCCCAGGAGCGATGGCATCCTTGGCTGGGGGCTCTCAGTCAAACCTGGCTCTGTTCTGGCCCCATGGCTGCTGCACGCAGCCAGCCCTCCCCAGGATGTCACTGCCCCCTGGCCCCCTCTCAGCGGGGAGACTAAGGCCCTCATGCCAGTTCTGCTTCTGCCTTGTGGAGATGCAGGGGTATTTCTTCCTCAGGGAAAGGGCAACAGAAGGAGGATCAAAATTCAATGCAAACCGGGAGGTGAACACAACATCACAGGCAAAGGGCCAGAGCCTGGATGCAGAACAACCCAAATGAATTCCTGTTCCCACAGCAACCAGCACTCACCCCCTCACCCAGCCAGGTGCTCGCCAGGCTGGCACCAATGTGCCCACGTTTGCCAGGGGGACATGAGTGTGGCATCTCCAGTGCTGCCTTTTCCTTTTGAGATGGATTCGCCACATGGCACCACACCAAATCAAACAAAGCCTAAGAGGAATTTTGGGTTGCCTGTTCCCATGACAAGGAAGGAGCAGAAGGATGAAGTGGGCTTTCCAGCAAGTGCAGGCAAGAGGTGCCACCACCTTTTGAGGGGTATTTTCTGAGTGGCCTCATGGCAGATGACTCTCCTGCTGTCCTGGGCCTTGTCTGTGCATGGACCAAACACCCTGGAGGAAAAATTCAGAGGGCTCCAGCTTCTATCAGCTGCTTCCAGTGAGCAGGAGCTGGACACTGTCTGCTCCATGCTACATATGGGACTCCAGGGCTGCTGACCTGCCGTGACCCAGCTGGTTTTTGGCAAGTTAGAGGGTTGTTTGCCAGGGGATCTATTTCTAAAAGCCATGGCAATGCTGGTGGTTTTGCCCGTGACATAAAGCAAGGTGGAAGGAGTCTGTGAAGACAGCTGGGAGCAACCTTCCCCTGTGGGACAGGTCTGGGTACAGAGATGCCAGTCTGGAATTGCATTGTTGCAGGGCAGGCAGGGACTGCTCTGACCCCCTGGGTGCCATGAGGGATTGTGTTAAGGTGTTAAAAATGCAGCTCAGCTCAGGACAAGCCCAGGTGAGCTTTCATTCTGGAGGTCTGATAGACTCAGTGGAGCTGAGCTGGTGCTGGGATTGAGAATAAGAAATGCAGGACTGGCAGTGGATGCATTGCTCTCGGTCTTGGCAGCAAGTGCTGGCCAGCCACGGAGCAAACTCTGTGGAGCATTTCCTCATTCAGTGTCTCCTGCAGTGCATAACCGAAATCACAGGGCAGGAGTCACGAGCCTTGGGGGCCCATCCCCCAGCTCCTCCTCCCTCCCCGAGTCAGGACTTTGGGCCATTTGCAAAAGGGGTTTCTATTGCTCTATTTGAGTCTTAATTAACTGATGCCCACCCTGAGCTGTTAACTCTTACCTGGGATTTCCCTGCTGCTGGACTTCCTGATGAGGCTATCCTATCCTATCCTATCCTATCCTATCCTATCCTATCCTATCCTATCCTATCCTATCCTATCCTATCCTATCCTATCCTATCCTAATCTTATCCTATCCTAATCTTATCCTATCTTATCCCCATCTACCCTGATCTAATCTCTTTCCCTTCTCATCTCTTTGTCCAGGACTTTCCTATCCTATGTAAACCCTCTGATCTTTCTCTTTTCCACACCATGCATCTGTGTGAATGCAGCTGGGAGAATATCCATGTTCCTACAGTTTTTTCAGTTCCTGGGAATGGTGTGGAGAGAAGCTGGGTTTATTTCTGCCATCCTTTTCCTGAAATGCCCTATCCAGGACTGCACTGCTGTTCTTCATCCTTCCTTCCACAGGGCATCCATGCTGGCTCCCAGCACTCAGCTGACAGTAGGGATCAGCCAGGGCTTCCCACAAGGAGGTTCTGCCCGTGGTTTGAAAATAGCATTTATTTGCTCTGGGTTGCTATAGTTACTGGTGGAAGTCATGTGGCTCCTGCTGTTGGGTTGGGAGATTCTCTCCTGTGGCATCACTGGCTGGTTCCACCTTCACCTATGGAAAAGACAGGAATTTCTTGGGCATTGGGTGGGCTCTGCATGGGATGCTCCCTTCCCCCATCACCTTTCAGCAACCCACTGGCTGCACGTGCAGTGCTGTTGTGGATTTTCAGTCCCCACTCACAGGGTTTGTATTTCTAGGAGGAGCCAATGTGGTTTTCCCAGCACAGAGCCTGTCCCTACACTGCATCTCAGAGCTCTTGGAAGCAGACACTGAGAGGAAGCACACCAACCTCCCACCATGTCCCACCCCTGGTTTTTGGGAAGCTGGTTTGCAAATGGGGGCCTGGAACAGCTGACATATCCTGGAGAGGAAATTTTGGAGGCATGACGCTAGGTGAGACGGGCATGCAGTGTGGGAGGGATGCTTGGTGGCTGGGAGCCATACGTGGGCTGTGCTCCAGGGCTCTCTGCAGAGACACTCAGAGAAGTACAAACCCAGTGCTGGGGTTAGCCTGCTACTGCAGCCTTCCAGCCATGGGCTTTTCCTGCCAGAGGCTTGTGAGTGCAGGCAGTATTTGTTATCTTCCCACAGCCATGGCAGACACTACCCCACACAGAGAGCCTGGAGCCAGCCTGGGATGCCACAGAGATTTTCCTGCCTGTGGATATTCTCCTGCTGCTCTGGCCACTGAAACTGTGGGAAAAACAAAAACTCTCCAACATTTTTGTGTTAGAGAGTCAAGGCATAATTTTATTATCTGGCCAGGATGTACCACAGAAATCATCTCATCCACACATAGCTTGTGTGTGCAGAGAGAATCATTCCATGACACATGCTTTTACAAGATTTCCCCCAAACCTTATACAGCCAAAACCCATAGAGATGCAGTGTTTCAAAGTTCATTGGTCTAGTTTTGAGCAACCCCCAGTATTCAGTTTCCCATTGGATCCGAATCTCCTCACCTTTGATGTTAATTAGATCTTCATCCTTTGATTTTTTTATAAGTCCTTTCCGGAGGAGATGTCTCCAACTCTGGCAGAGTCTGGGGTAGATGTTGGTAGATGGCCACTGATGCTCTGTTGGTGGCCTTTTATTTTTCTGGGTTTCTATGGGCTCCTCCCAGTCTGTTGGTACATTAAGTCTGTTAGAAAAATTAATCCACAGACATCAGAGGTTTATGTCCAAAAAAGGAGACAGAGAAGTCCTTTTACTTTATTCTAATAAAGGGAGAGGCCATGAGGCATTCCCCTGGGGTGTCTCCAAATTTTGGAGGATACAGCCTCCTCTTTTATTCTAATTTCCCGGCTGCATTTCCCTTCTCTCTTCCCCATTGCCTGAGATACTTGAGAGTACAGACTTCCCAGAATGCTTGATACCAGAGATTTCCCTCCAATGTATGACCCTCCCCTCCCTTCTAATTTTTAATTTTTACAGAATTTAGGGTTTTTCCTCATTGTTTCTTTCATCTTTCAATGTCTAATTTTATTTATCAGCAAAACTAAAGCTTATTTGTAAAAGCAAGTATCTTTTTCCATTCATCCATCAGTGGAATCCTTCCCATTGTTTCTTTTATCTCTCAGTGCTAGTTTTATCTACCAGCAGACACACAGCTTGTTTGTAAAGACAAATCTGCTATTCCTCTCGAGTCCATCAGACCTCACCTAGAGAAACCATGTCCTGCAAAGAAAGCTTCAGCTCCCCTTCCCAGGACAAAGGTGAACATACCTGGATAAAGTTATATAAAATATTTTTTAAACTGGTATGTTTTTCAACACTGGGGACATGGGGAGAGGAGTATGTTGGGGACAGGATGTGGCAGGACAAATCCAGGCCCAGGGTGCCATAATATTTTTGGGGATGGAGCTGCTGGCAGATGCTTAGAATAGGCAGCCACAGGGCACCAAGGAAGGGAAGGCTCATTTTGGGTCATTACACTCAGTTTTGGGGAGAAAATTTGGGTTAGTGAGGGCAGAAACTTTCTGCTGCCTGGGTGGGAGCTGCTCCAGAACCATGTGCTGCACTGCTCCCAATGTGTCCTTTGTCACAGAGCTGGGACGGTGCCATGGCTCTGCCCCCACAACCTGCTTCTTCTCTGTGCTGGCAGCTCTCCCTTGGCCTGTGGCCCTGGCAGGTAGGGAGGGAGATAAACCTTGGCTGGCTGGCAGAACAGCACCTTCCTGCAGAGCTGCTGAGCACGAGGTGCTGAAGAACTCCTGCTGTGAGATGCACCAGGGCAGGAGTCTCTTCTCCTCTCCCTGCCTCTCTCCCTGCCTTGCTCAGCACGTATCAGAGTCCTCATTACCAATTAGCAAATTAAATCCAATCCCTCTGGCACTTCCCAGGTATTCCTACACAGCTGCTGTGCTTGTGCTCCTCCTGCTTTGGCTCCTGCACTCTGACAGAGCATCACCTCTGGCATGCTGCCTGCTGGCCTCTCCTCCAGGATTCCCATGCCTATGGACCCCTCACGTGCTAGAGATGAGACTGAGATGGTGTTGGTGCCAGTGGCAGCTCCATGGCAGCTGTCTGGGAGTCCTTGAAGCTCCTGTCCTCTGCAGTTCACGGATGCAGTGTTACTCCCACCTCCCACTCTCCTCCTGCACACATTCTCTGTTGGGCTTGACCAACACACTTAGAGAAGGATATTTTTGACCGGGTAAAGAAATCTGCCAAAACAGGGTCAGATTGTTCCCAACAATTGTTCTGTTCATGGGTTGGGGCAACCAGTTTTCTGCAGATGTATGTCTGGGTGTGGATGCTGGCAGAGCCCCAGTGTCACTCTGTCTGGTCAGGGGGACCACGGGAGCTGTGCTCTGACCCCTGGCAGCCCCTGTTAGTTCACAGTGGGCCAGGACATCCCATGGCCTTACCTCCCTTTCCTGGCCATCTTCCTACTGCCCAGGACCACTCAACCTAAAATGTTGTGGATGAGCCAACTTAACCAGCACTCGTTATCAATATTTTGTTTGAGAAAAGACAAACTGAAAGGCAGAAGGAATTTGTTTCCTTTGTTATGGTTTATTCCCCTCTCAGGGTGTTGTTTCATTGCTCAGTTTGCAGGGGAAGATCGAGCCCTGGCTGCCCCTGGAGCTGCTGCCAAGCAAAAAGGCATGAGACCTTTTTCTTTTAAACGTCATTTTTGTGTTTCCTGGGTTTGGCGTTGCCCTTGAGGGCAGTTCCTCTCCTCCAACCGCCTCTGTGCAACGTCCCGCCAGTGGTGAGAGGACAGTTGGCTAATCATGGCGACGAGGTGACATCTGCTTGCATGAGCCCCACCCAGGGCGGGCAGCTGTGGGGACTAGCGCCTGCTTTCCAAAGGCGTGGGCACCTCCTCTGGAACGAGCAAGTCCAGAAGGATCAAGACTACCACAAAGCAGAAAAAGCTGCAGCAGTGAGAGGGAGTTTCTGTTCCTCTTGGGTTGGAAGATGCTCACCCAAATGCTAAATTCATATCCTGAGCCCCAGGTATGCTGGTCTGAGCTCTCAGGGTCTGCTCTGTCTGTGGCTTCACATACTGCCTTCTCTTCTAAGCCTCTGGAGACCAAAGTGCTGGTGCCTGCAGCCAGGGACATACCCAGCTCCAGGAGACAGAGACAGTATTTTATAGCTGCTTTGGCAAGATGGAGAAGAAAAAAACATAGGTTTCACCACCAGCCCAGCCCCAGGGCTGGGATTTGTCACACTGCAAAGGGGACTGAGCCCTGAATGTCTCTGGCTGCTGCAGCCAGGAAAAGTGGAGGCTGGACGCATTGTGAGACTGCAGTCTGGGGCTGTTTCTCCTCTCTCCTGTGTGCCAGAGGCTGATTAGGATTTCCTCTACCCAAGCTCATCATCGACCATGGTTGGGGCATCCAACACCTGCTTTGAAGGAAGCTCCATCATGCCTAGTCAAAGATGGCCTTATTCAGACCTATCCTAGAAAAGAGAACACACCACAGGGAAACTCAGAGACCTCCAAAGGCTCCAGTTCAAGTTCTCAGTAGAGCGGGGACAGCTGGTTATCTGCAGGTTCCTGCTGGCCACTTACACTTGTGTCATAGGTGCATTCCAGGCCTCAACCCATGACCACCACTGCTGGCAGGAAATGTGGTGTTGCCCTTGGGGCTGAAATAGCCAAGAAAGATGATATTTGATAGAAATTACTGTGTGCCATGGACCTGCTCACCTCAATGCCACCAAAGCAGAAGATCTGGATAATGACCCCAGGGTTTCCAAAGCCCAGTCCTCTGTTTTCTAGTGCTTTTTAGGCTGCCCATCTATTATGAAATTGTTTAGGTTGGAAAAGACAGCCAAGATCCTTGAATTCAGATATTGCCCTAGCTCAACCAAGGCCACCACTAAACCATGTCCCCAAATACTCTAAGCCTACTTGTTTCCTGAAGGCTTTCAGGAACAAGGATTCCATCGCTACCTGGGCAGCCTGTGCCAGTGCCAAGCCACCTTTTCCATGGAGAAATTTTCCCTAATACCCAAACTGAACCTCCCCTAGCACAACCTGAGGCCATTCCCTCTCCTCCTATCCCTTGCTCCCTGGCTGTCCCCTCCTGTCAGAGAGTTGTGCAGAACCACAAGGTCCCCCCTGAGCCTCCTTTTCTCCAGGCTGAGCTCCTTTCCAGCTCCCTCAGCCCCTCCTGGTGCTCCAGCCCCTTCCCAGCACTGTTCCCTTCCCTGGTCATGCCCCAGCCTCTCAGTGTCTGTCGTGAGGATCTCAGAACTGACCCCAGGACTGGAGCTGCCTCAGCAGTGCCCAGCACAGGGGATGGTCACTGCCCTGGGCCTGTGGCCACACCATGGGTGGTACAGGCCAGGAATCATTGGCCACTGTTGACCACAGGCAGCTGTCACAGGCTCTGCAGGCATTGCCTACTGCACAGACAGCTTCAGCTTGGGCTCCTTGCTGGGACAGAGCTATGGCTGCACTAATCACTGAGTTTTGGAGAAGACAGAGCCAAGATGGCAAAGTTCAGTGGCTGCAGATGAAAAGGGCAAGAGTGTTTGCAGATGACAAAAAATCATACAGGAATGTTGGCTCAGAAAAGGGGAAGAGGGAGAGGACATGCAGTGGAAAGATATGGGGGAGATATGAAAACAATTGGTTCCTCTTTCTACCATATCACCTAAGTACAGCACAGAAATTAAAGGGCAGCATATGTTGAACAGATTAAAAGAAGTTGATTTTATATATTTTATTTTTTTATTTCAGAAAGTTCAGGCATTGTTCAGAAAGCCAGAGGTAAGGACAGACATGGCACGAAGCCCAGGGAACTATAAAAGTGACAATCAAGCACTGTGTTTTCCAGCACTGCTTCAAGGGTTCAAAAAACCAAGAGGTTTTACAGTGGGCATAAAACCAGTTTTGTGACTCCTTTGGGGAAGGGGGAAACACCAGCACCTTTAGTCCCTGAAAGCAACTGGAGACAACTGAGATGAGTGCAGCCACACAATGTCCTCACATCCTGGTCCTGCACTGGATTCTCCCCTTCCAAACCCTCTCCTCTCCCTGCAGTGAGAAAGCAGCTGGACACTCTTGGAGTATGCTGGGAAAGGGAGGACACCTCCCTTCAGCTCAGGGGACTGTGTTTAGATTGCAGCTCTGTATCTAAGATCAGGACAGGGAGCCTCCGCCCAGCCAAACATTTCAACCAAATCTCAGTTTGGTCCTTCCTCCATCTTCCCTCCAGGATACACAAGGCTCTGTCTTCACCCATCCCTCACAGGCCAACTGAGCCCAGAGGCGAGGGATGGCCTGCACAGTCCCAGGCCTTTTCAAGGAACAGCCATTTCTTCCACACAGAGATTTTTTCCCATCAGCTGACACAGTCAGGATCACACGGGGAAGCTGAGTTCAGGAATAGCTCGTTATTTCAGAATACATGTGTATTCACATTCAGCCTGTACATGTTTATTAGTAATATCTGCTGAGGCACTGGCTCACCCCAGCTACTTGTTTCTTGAGCACTTCTCATCCTTGTGGTCCAGCCCTCCCTCCCCATTTCCCTGCTTGCAGGAAAACTGTGAAGTGCTGCAGCAGCCCTTGGATGGAGATCTCTGCATCTCACTGGGAGCTGCAGGCTTGGAGCTCCCAGCTGGGGCTGCTGGGTGGAGGCAGCAGCTCGATGTGCTGGATCTCAGCAGGCAGCCCTGGGGATGGCACAGCCTGCAGGAAGGACAGTAGGGAACATTTGGGATTGGGATATAGGGATTCTTGGCCCCCAAGGGTTTTCACAACAGATCCATCCGTAGTTGTTTTGGTGATGGTGAGGGACCAGCAGTAGGGAGGATGAGCTCAGGATAAGGTCCTTTGGAGGGCACCATGGTTGTTTGGGGCCAGGGCAGGGCTGCTCCACAGGGGACAGTAGCTGGCTCCAGGCATCAAGTGGGACCTGTTGGATAATCCCTATTTCTGCAGCCTTGGGAAAAGGGAGACTCTGATCCCATGCATAAGGAGGAACAGAGCTGGTCCCACAGCCTTGGTGCGACCAGGGGAACCAGCATTGCTGGGCAGTGCCTAGGGCCACAAGAG